AAAAAATAAGTTTTAGGGTGCATTTATATGACTGCCAGTTGCAAAAAAATTTATAAAAAAATCTAAAAATGACCTTCACAACAAGGTGTAAAAGTGTTTCTGCAATAACCTTGATTCAATAGTCTGATTGAAAGTAATTGCATATTCTGCTTATACTTTAAATCATTAAATTCAAAGCAAATTAGCATAAATTCATATGCAGAATATGCAATTACTTTGATTCAGACAAAACAAATGTTTTCTTAAGCTATTGTACATACACTTTTACAGCTTCGTTTAAAGGCAATTTTGACATTCTTTGATAAATTTTTTTTCCATCTCTAGGGCTAAAGCAGAATGAATACGAATACGGGAACAGGGCATGAGGAAGGAAAGGACACATAGAATTTCTGTCGTTTTCTTTTACATGCTCTGTTTCCATATCCGTTGTCATTCTGCTTAGGCCTATAGTCGAATAAGTGCATCCGCAAGGATATTTATCAGTAAGTCTATGTAAACGTTGTACACGTGTTAGGTTGTCGAAATTTATCTTTTAGTTTAAGCCATATCATCATTTTCTTCATTAATCCCTAGGCCACAAAGTTTTAATGACCTAGTTAGTGTCACTTTACTGAGGATCTCTTTCCCAATATCTTTAAAACCAACATCTCTTAATACTGCAATTGAAATGAAAGCAAATTGTTGTTTTGCATGCTGTGGAAAGTGTACTTGGAAAATCCAGTACACTGCCACTAAAAGTAGTACAGCATCGTATCCCTTAGCTTGAAAAATAGGTTTGCTATCTACGTAACACATCAACTCGATCTCATTGAAAGGTCCGTTGGAAATTGCAATAAGTTTAGGTGGTTCACTAATTTCAGAAATAGTGCTTGAAATAGGCGTTCCCGACTAAAAAAATGAATTGTGTTTTATTTAGTATAATGGAGCTTTTACACCTATGGTGAAAATTGTCCAGAATGGAAAATCTATATTAGAGTATGAGAGACAGACTGTGTATCTATCTCTCTTACTCCAATGTAGATTTTCCGTTCTGTCCCGATCTGGAAAGGTGTTTCATGCCATATTATGGCCACAATATGTCAATTTCTGCACGGGATGCATGCGTTAAATCGGCCCGTTTTGCGTTTAGCAGGAGTGTAACAAGGATAGAAGTATATATCTATCTTTCTTTCCAATTATCCAATGCTCATGCTCATTCCACAGTTGCTTGTGCGGACTAACTTTGTAGAGCAACCTGCATTTTGTCTACATCTAAAGACCAAAGCAGAATTGAAACGGAACTAGAATCGTAATCGTAATTGGAAGAATAAATTGAAAAAAGATAAACAATTTTTCTATCCTTCTCTAGTTCATCCTTCCCATTACGTTTGTGATTCTGGTTACGTTTCTATTCTGCTTTGGCTTATTAGTCGTTCTTCGCTGTCTGTCCGCACTAGATAGCGTGGAAATAGCATTTCGATTACAATTACGTTTCCGTTCAAGATCTAATCTTGTACTATTATTTTGGTTACCGGGAAGCATTCCAGACTTTTACCCCTTTCTTTTGTTTTTGAGAATAATTTTGGCAGATATAAAGGGTCGCCACCGTTTTTCCATTATTATCTAAATTATTGGTGTTAATTTTTAAAGCTTTTTTAATTTGCGGCAGTGCTTGCAACCAATTTTGACGAAGATTTTCAACAGTCAAATTTGCTAACTCTGCCAATTCCCAAAGAAGCTGAAATGTAATGAATAAAAATTTTTAGGAGGCTGCAGATCTCATTTGCCATTGACTAACAAAAAAATCGAATATTAACATCATGTTATGAAAGAACAGTTTTATATGGGGTCATACTTGAATAACGTAACGCTTTTTTTTAAAGTTTGATGCCCCTTTCTCCCCTGTATAACAAACTTGTATGTATAATAGCTCCATTTTTCTGCTGTTTGTAACAAAAACATTGACCCCTCACCCAAAGAAGCGTTGCATGATAGCGGAGAGAGTAAAAATGAAAGCATAAAATTATAAGTGTGAGAGACACAGGCTGCTATCCCTCCCAGTTCTATAATTTTCAGCTTTTTGTTATACGCTTTCCGTTTACTTGGGACTGCACCTTCATACTATTTCACAAATAGACTTTACCATGTCATTTTTTTAAAGCAGGATATTTTTGTAATATTTCTTCTGCATCTAACTTTTTTGTTGATGTCATTCGCACTTTTCTTGTAGAAGGAAGTTCATCTTTCACAGCAACTCTTTTTTTTGGATTCGTTTGCTTCTCAGTAGAAATAGGTTTGGCTTTGTAAGATTTGTTATCCTTACTTTTATAATATTTACAACTGTTTTTCAACCGACAACGAGTTTGTTCCTACATAATATAACAAAAAAAGTTACTCTCTGTTCACGCTAACTTATCTCAATATTACCGATCTTATAAGGATGAATATACGGCTCACGAGCGTCTTGAACGTAAGTGGCGGTGTTTCGTACCACAAGTGGTACGGAGTTTGTCCCATTTGTGGAAAAATCGTTTGTCCGTAAAGGCCAAAGCAGAGATGAAACGTAACCGGCATCGCAATCGTAAACGAAAGAATGACTTAGAGAAGGATAGGTATATTGTCTATCCTACCCCAACTCATACTTCCGTTTACCATTGCGACTGCGATTCTGGTTACGTTCGGATTCTGCTTTAGCCTTGACACTTGTTGGACAGACTCGGTGCAACTTGTGAAAAGTGGTTTATTTGAAGGGTCATTCACAATTATAAGAATTCATCAATCAACAACATTCTTCATAATATATGTACATTCAATTTTATCATAATGTAATATTTATTATCAGGATTTAAACTATTATTTACATACTTTCTTCATGCAAAAGTTGTTGATGACTAAATTCTTATAATTGTGAATGAACCTTCAAAAAACCACTTTCTACAAGTTGCACGAAGTCTGTCGAACAAGTGTCAGGAACGAACCAGTTTTCCACAATTTGAGCAAGCTGCGTGCCACTTGTGGTACAAAATACCGCCAGTTGCTTCTGAGACGCTCGTGAGCCGTACAGGCTTTCGTACTCTTTTTAATTTTCATAATTAAATAAGTCAAATAAAACGAAAACATTCGGACAAAGAATAAAAATTTATTTATTCCATTTTCAGGGTATAATATGTCTTCGTGTTTTTGACTTATTGTTTTGGTAAGATTTATAATTACTATTTATTTTTATTTATTAACTTATTGTTTTTTATTTGTATTTTTATTTTGTTTTTGTATATTTTTTTATGGACTCCCTGAAGAGGAAATCATTTCGATTTTGAAACGTTGGAGTAAATAAATTTTTATTTTTTTCTCTTTGTCCGAATGTTTTCGTTTTATTTGACTTATTTAATAAAAGATCTCGGACGTTAAAGATTAATTTCTCAATTTTCATAATTTTACCAAACATGTGAATAGGCTTTATGGAGTGGTCACACCTCGCCTGCAGGAGAAGTTGCCCATGGCAACCGTGTAAGAATAAGAGAGATAGAAGATTTTCCATCTCTCTTACTCTTACAGCAACTTCTCTTGCAGGCGGGGTGTGACCGCTCCATTACTCTAAGTAGACTCACACTAGGATCGCCATATCGAGACTTGAAAATTTCTGGAAACTTTTTACACAATAAAGTTGAAATTTCCCCAATGATGAATGACTGATCCAAACCTGCATTACATATATTTTTAGCTGTCATTCTAATGATACAGCTTTTCTGAGACTCAGTCAATTCGCTTTTTTCATCCATTACATTTTGAATATCATCAGGGAATTTCGTCGGAATCAAATAACTAAAGTCAAGCTGGAATGTAAATCACGTAATTAAAAAACTTACTGCAATTGATAGAAATTTTTAAGACCTTTTTCCAATAGGATCTAAAAGCATATTTCGCAAATCCGTTCCGTTGATTCTAGCATTGGTTGACAGAGTAACCACCCCAAAGCGGTTACTAAATATGCTTTTGGAATCCTATGAGAGAGAGAGAGTGGCGTTTAAGGTGTGAAGACCTAAGCACAACTGAGTCGGGTACGTAAGACTGTTGTGGGATATGTAACATTTGCATACATTTTGAGGTTAGGAGCCCCATTCGTTTCCCATACCCGACTCTATTGTGCTTCAGGGTGCAGTCCCGTAATAGCGTGAAACGGAAAACGTTTAGCCAATAAGAAATTTCTATTAGAATGATTTCCATTGAATCAGAAGTTTCAATTGGCTAAACGTTTTCCGTTTCCCGTCTTTACGCTGACATGGGATTGGCCCTTAAGGCTGCAGTTCAATGGCGTTGCGTTTTATAAGTAGGCCATGAGTGCAAATATAGAAAATTTATATCTGCATCTCTCTCATACTCAAAGTCTTAAGGGCCAGTCCCATGTCAGCGTAAAAACGGGAAACGGGAAACTTTTAGCCAATAGCAACTTCTGACTCAATGGAAATGATTCTAGTAGAAATTTCTTATTGGCTAAACGTTTTCCGTTTCACGCTATCATGGGACTGAACCCTAATGAACAAACGCGCGTTTCAACGCTCACATGTGGCTTCCCCCTAATGATAAGTTGGCGTGAATGCGTTGCGTTGGTTGCTATATGTAATATTAGAGAATTTACTGTTTCAGTTATCTTGATAATTTCTTCTTCTTCACTGTCTAAAGATATGTTTTCAGATAATTCTTTAGAAGTAGACGGCCTAGGTACGTCGATAGTGTTAATTGAAGACGACTTATCGCTGCAAGTCCAAGTCTGAATGCCGCAAGCTTTATTGCTCACGTAACGTGTTGACTTTTATTTTTTCAAGATAATTGATAGTAAAGAGTAATTAATTATAAAATTATGTGTAATTAATTATTAATTTAACAATTAATCAACTAAAAATGAGTAATTACTATCAATCATCTTAAAAAAATAAAAGTCTAGATGATGCGCGCGCAACAAAGTCTGAGTCTTTGGGTGGAGTCACAAGGCAGCGTTTTGCGTTGTGTTTTGTAACTAGGCCATGAGTTTGAGAGAGATGGAAATATACGTTCGATATATTTGCACTCATGGCCTAGTTACAAAACCCAACGCAAAACGCTGCCATGAGAGTCCACCGTTACCTTTCGGACTTATTGTAGAAGCTCCATTAGGCCTTCAACTCTGCTTCCAACAACGGTCACATGGGGTAAGGGAGGTGTGGGGAGTTGTAGGCTCGACGCTTCCCCTCTCTCTTTCCCCACGTTCATGACTGAACATAGTAACGCGGAACGCGACTACCTTTCTAGATAATATATGACCCATGTTAGAGTTGCGCAGTGATGTACATATGTAAGTGTATGTAGTGTATGTAATGTAATGTAAATCTATATGTAAGTGTAATGAGAATTAAGATAGTATAAATCCGGCAGTCGTTGGTACAACACATGTACCCTTGTTACTTTATAACCTCATTTCTTTTATCTATAATAAATGGTGTTAAATATTAATTGTATATGGAATCAGTTTTATTATTATTTTAACAAGTGGGAAAACCTTCTGGTCATTTTATATATTCTAACAATAATTCCCACATTGGTGACCCCGACATGGGCGTAATATATAATATGACGCCGTCGAGCACGTGTCGTGTGTGAAATTTTGGAGCCAATTTTATCTTCGATTTTATTAATCATCCAACGAATATTCGACGAGAAATGGATAAACAAAAAATCTAAGTATTTTTTAACACCAAAATTTTCTGAATTTTTAAATGTTTTAATTCAAAAAAAAAAAAAAAAAAAAAAAAAAAAAAAACGAAATACATTTGGTGCCATGTGCACATTATATCTGCCGCCATTTTTACTCCAAAATGGAATTTTTCAACTTTTAACACCTTCCATCGATCAACCGCATTTGTCTTGATCCTGACGGAAATATTAATAATATTTATTGTTGCTGTCGTGGATTTTATAATTTTTTACGTTTGTCGACAAATGATTTTGGCATTCCTGGTCGAACTATATAAGGACTAACCTGGCATGAACTTGGCAGCCCATTTTCGAGGTTCCAGATTTTTTAAATTATACACGCTATCAAAGAACGGCGCATGGGCAGAACATTCTTGCCCATGTACAATGTATGTACCTGCTTTTTTTCATACCTTAAGCAAAATAACAGTTTTTTGAACTGTCTGCTGTCTCTGATGAGATTCCTTTTTTTCACGCTGTCCTTGGTCCGTATCTGCGCGGTTTTGACATCGAGGTGATGTTTTTTGGGACCTGTCAAAAATTGACTACAGCTGAAAAAAGGATGTGCTACAAAATGGAGCTGTTTATCCGGTTCACCTTCCGAGTCTTCTCCGAGGATCGATTCATCATCTATGGAATCTTCATGATTTATATTTGCTTACTGGCATTTATGTTGTTGTAAGTCTCCGAAAAATTTTTTTTTACGAAAAATTTTTTTTTTAATATTTTTTTTTCGAACAAAATTTTTTTTTTTAGAACAATATTTTTTTCTCTCAATATTGTTTTTTAAATTTTTTTTTTGAGAATATTTTTTTATTCGAGACGACATTTAAAAATTTATCCAATTATTTTTTCAAATAAATAAATTTTTTTTTGTTTTGTTTTATTGTTGGTCGACGAAGCACAAGGAATAATTTATTCCACGTTATATTTTAAAATTTTTTTTTGACTCTTCAAACTTAAAATTTTTTTTAAATTTTTGAATAAGGCGTTCAGCGCCTGTATTAATAATTGATTTCTCGATTAAAATCTTGAAAATGATTAAAAATTAATTTATTTAAATTAAAACAACATTTAACATTTTTTTTTAAAAACAAAGAAGAATATTTTTTCTTACACTTTTGACACAAGTATATTGTGAACATTAAAAATGCGAATAGTATTAACAACACCAGTCTTCGTCGACAACATTATATGGTTTTGTGCATTTTATTTTTGTATATGCCTTATCATGTCGTCATCCTATTTATATAATATTTTTTTATATTGTTTTTTGTAAATTAAAAAAAACATTTGTGATCTGTGTTATGTGTGTCCGCGAATTTTTCGATTATGAAAATTATTTTTTTAATCATTGCTCAATGGTATGGACATTCAAGTGATTACTTTTGAATAACTTTTACAGATATTTTTACAGAAATTTTATTTTTTATATCTTTTTAGAAATTTTTTGATTTTCAAACATTTTTATTCGGAGTTTAAAATATTTTTTTACAATGGTTGATAATATTAATGATCAGTCGACTTCTACTTCGAGGGGAAGTGAGGTATTTCAATTCGGAATGATGAATCCGGCCGGTGCTGCCCCTTTGGATGAGGCACACGTTGACAATTGTCGAAGCATTAAACTTCCTACTTTTTTTCGTTCTGACCCGAATCTTTGGTTTATGCAAATCGAACTGATGTTCGACTGCAATCGCATTAGAAGCGAACGCCAAAGAGCTGGACACATTGTTTCAGTATTAGATTACGAAATTGTTCAAACAATTAGTGATTTGTTAAGCGCGAATCCTCCATTGGAAAGACTTTATACTAGTATTAAAGAACGGATAATTACCAATTTTTCTGTTTCCCCCGAAAAAGAATTGCGTTCAATTCTTCGTGGTGAGATCCTCACTGACGGTAAACCGTCCCTGATCCTGAGTAAGATTCGACATTTAAGTCGCGGCCGATGTTCCGAAGAAATTATTAAAGCAGTCTTTTTAGATCATTTACCGGAAAATTGTCGGGCAATATTAGCCTTATCAGAAGTCGAGGACGTTAGACGGTTAGCACAGGTTGCTGATAAAATCATGGCAAACACATCTTCCACAGAAAGCACGGTTAGCGCAGTTTCCACGGAAAGCGAAGTTTTGAAAAAGATTGACGCTCTTACCAAGAGAATCGACGAAATATCGTTTAAATCCCAACCTCGAAGAGATTCGCGATCGAGATCGTTTTCCAAAAATCGAGATAAATCGAGAAATCGTTCTGGACATTCGCGTGATAAATCGCGTGACCAATCGCGAGACAAACGTCATGATGGTAAATGTTATTACCATTTCAAATTCGGGGAAAATGCCGAGTATTGTAAACCGCCTTGCTCATATAAAAAAAAACTTAACCCTAAACAAAAACCAAAACCTGATGCGGAAAACTAACCTCGCCGCACCGAGTTGAGACTATCGATGCGACGAATAGTAAAAAACGTCTCTTTGCCAGAGATCGTAATTCTGGAATAAAATTCCTTATCGATACAGGATCGGACATTTCTCTTCTCCCTGCCGATGGTAGATCCAAGAGAAGGCCAGCCGATTATGTGCTTTATGCAGCGAATAATTCGCTAATAAACACATACGGCGAACGCCGACTTTCATTGAATCTAGGACTTAGACGTCCATTAAAGTGGAATTTTTGTGTAGCATCGGTGCCCTATGCCATCATAGGAGCCGATCTACTAGCCCACTATGGACTAAATGCCGATCTTCGTAATCGTAGGCTCATCGATACTCAAACGGGTTTAGGTTCGATATGCGTTCTTGGTTTGGATTCGTTAAATGGTATTAGTACTGTTAACAAATCGAAATCGTATGCAAAACTTCTAGCGGAATTTCCTAGCATTACCGGTTTGGAACAAAGTTCTGGTGTTGCAGCACGCGGTGTTTTTCATCAAATTGAAACCACAGGTTTCCCGGTATCTGAACGTCCCCGTCGTTTATCATCTGACAAATTAGTTTTTGCAAAAAAGAAATTTATGAGTTGGATGGATGAGGGTAAATGTAGACCAGCCAAGGACCAATGGGCATCACCTTTACATATGGCCCCTACAAAAGACGGAGGTTATAGGCCATGTGGTGACTACCGTAGGGTCAACGCGCAGACTATCCCCGATAGCTATCCAGTGCCTTATTTGCAAGATTTTACCTCGAATCTCCACGGGAGGACTATTTTTTCTAAACTCGATCTGCACGCGGCATACAACCAGATCCCAGTTGCGCCTGAAGATATCCCAAAAACGGCGATAACAACACCTTTTGGTTCGTTTGAGTTTCTCGTTATGACTTTCGGTCTCAGAAACGCGGCTTAGACGTTCCAGCGTTATATTAATCAGGCTATGCGTGATTTGGATTTTGTTTTCGCTTACATCGATGACATACTCATCGCGTCATCAAGTGAGGAAGAGCATGAGTGTCATTTAAGAATGGTTTTCCAACGATTGAAGGAATTTGGTCTTCGTTTGAATCTTGAGAAGTGTTCTTTTGGTGTTACCGAACTTGAGTTTTTGGGACACATAGTAAATTCTGAAGGAATTAGACCGACAACTGAGAGAGTGAGAGCAATAGCTGAATATCCGAAACCAAAAACTGTCGTTGAATTGAGACGTTTTTTGGGCTAGGTAAATTTTTACCGCCGTAGTTTACCTCAGGCAGCTCAAGCTCAGCGTCCATTAAATGTTTATTTGCGTAATTCTAAAAAAAACGATCAAACGAAAATTGATTGGTCCCCAGAAGCCGATGAAGCTTTCAAAAAAATCTGTCATAGCATGACAGAAGCTGTCCTTTTAGTTCATCCTGATCCGCAGGCACAAACCCGTTTGGTCACTGATGCATCCGATACAGGAATGGGAGCTTCAGTCGAGCAATTTCAGGATGGCTCATGGAGACCATTGGCCTTTTTTTCGCGTGGTTTTACCCCCACCCAGCAAAAGTACAGTACGTACGACCGGGAATTGACCGGAATTTTCGAATCAGTAAGGTACTTTAAACATCTGCTCCAAGGTCAAACATTTAAAATCGTCACTGATCACAAGCCTCTCATCTATGCTTTTCAACAAAAATCAGAAAAGGCATCTCCACGCCAACAAAACCAGTTATCATTGATATCGCAATACACCACGGAAATCGAGTATTTACCCGGAAAAGAAAACATCGTTGCGGATTCTTTATCTCGTGTTAATGCCGTTATTTTTGCCTCTGAAATTAGCTTAGCCGAGATGGCTACGGCCCAAAAAGATGATCCGGAACTAAAATCTTTACTCGAAAACGGAAGTAGTTCTCTTAACCTTAAAAACATAAGATGGGGTACTGATCACACCATGTCCGTGAAGTTAGCACCACAACTTTATCAAAATTAACTTTTTTTTCTTTAAAACGTTTGTTGGTCGTTTGATAGTGTTTGATAGTTGATATTTAACGTTTGATAGTAAAAAATAGAAAAAATAAACAACAATCAAATATTGCGGTGCTATTTTCACACTGCACCCCAATTTCAATAAAACACTAATTTTTCATTTGTAAACGTTTGTTGGTTGTTTGATAGTGATTGATAGTCAATTCTGTACGTTTGATAGTTGAAATAATATTAAATATTAACATTATTAAAAACATTTATCCATCTCACATTCCACCATATGCGCATGCGCAAAACATTCTCTCGCGGCATATTCAAATAACAGAAACAGATTATCCTATTCAATAATACAAACAAAATGCAATATTTCGAATTTTTGTTTATATATCATAAAATTAAATTATCGCCTTTCAAAATTATTAAAACAAATTATTCCAAAAGGCTTAATTAATCAACAACAGGGTGCGTAACTCAAACACTTCGAATACACCAAAATTTTTTCAATCTAATCGATAGTTGGATGTTTGATAGTAATTGATAGTTGTTTAAAATCGTGTGATAGTGATTGATAGTTGGATAAAATCGTTTGATAGTAATTGATAGTTGGCTGGAATCGTTTGATAGTGATTGATAGTTAGCTAAAAACGTTTGATACTGATTGATAGGGTAAGTGTACCAATTACGGCGAGTGCACCAATTACGGCGCGTTCATAAAAAATAACTATTACTACTATTATATTTAATATAACTGTTGCAAAATGATAGAAAAAAATTATTTTAATCTTTTTTTGATACAATTGCTTATAAAGATGCATATTTAAACTATTGTTAATTTAATTATTTGAGATCAAATTTTTTCCGCGCCGCAATTGAAACATTTTTAAGATTTCCATTGGTTCCAATTTCGGTGGGAGAAATATCTTCAAAATACATGTAATTTTGGTCACCGAAATTAATACACTGAAACTGATACAAACGCGCCGCAATAGAAAATTACGGTATTAATTTTAACTTCTCATATTTGTTTAAATAATCGATTTTTATAAAGCTAAAATTTTTTTAATATCTAAACAACATAAGCTTATAGTTATTAATAAGTCTTAAATTGAGTTTATACAATAGAAATGTCGAATTTTCTATTTCAAAGATGTTTTGACTCAAATCGCGCCGCAATTAGTGCATTTACCCTAGTTGTTTAAAATCGTATGATAGTGATTGTAGTTGGCTAAAAACGTTTGATAGTAGTTGATAGTTGTTTAAAATCGTGTGATAGTGATTAATAGTTGGATAAAATCGTTTGATAGTGATTGATAGTTGGCTAAAAACGTTTGATAGTGATTGATAGTTGTTTAAAATCGTGTGATAGTGATTGATAGTTAAATAAAATCGTTTGATAGTAATTGATTGTTGGCTAAAATCGTTTGATAGTGATTGATAGTTGTTTAAAATCGTTTGATAGTGATTGATAGTAGGTTCAAAACGTTTGATAGTAATTGATAGTTGTTTAAAATCGTTTGATAGTGATTGATAGTTAGCTGAAAACGCTTTATAGTGATTGATAGTTGGCTGAAATCGTTTGATAGTGATTGATAGTTGGCTAAAATCGTTTGATAGTGATTGATAGCTGTTTAAAATCGTTTGGTAGTGATTGATAGTTGGCTGAAATCGTTTGATAGTGATTGATAGTTGTTTAAAATCGTTTGATAGTGATTGATAGTTGGCTAAAATCGTTTGATAGTAATTGATAGTTGTTTAAAATCGTTTGATAGTGATTGATAGTTGGCTAAAATCGTTTGATAGTGATTGATAGTTGTTTAAAATGGTTTGATACTGATTGATAGTTGTTTAAAATCGTTTGATAGTGATTTATAGTTGGCTAAAACCGTTTGATAGTGATTGTAGTTGTTTAAAATCATTTGATGGTAATTGAGAGTTGTCTGAAATCGTTTGATAGTGATTGTTAGTTGTTTAAAATCGTTTGATAGTGATTGTAGTTGGCTAAAAACGTTTGATACTGATTGATAGTTGTTTAAAATCGTTTGATAGTGATTGATAGTTGGCTAAAACCGTTTGATAGTGATTGTAGTTGTTTAAAATCGTTTTATAGTAATTGAGAGTTGTCTGAAATCGTTTGATAGTGATTGATAGTTGGCTAAAATCGTTTGATAGTAATTGATAGTTGGCTGAAATCGTTTGATAGTTATTGATAGTTGGCTAAAAACGTTTGATAGTGATTGATAGTTGTTTAAAATCGTGTGATAGTGATTGATAGTTGGCTAAAATCGTTTGATAGTGATTGATAGTTGTTTAAAATCGTTTGATAGTGATTGATAGTTGGTTCAAAACGTTTGATAGTAATTGATAGTTGTTTAAAATCGTTTGATAGTGATTGATAGTTAGCTGAAATCGCATTATAGTGATTGATAGTTGGCTGAAATCGTTTGATAGTGATTGATAGTTGGCTAAAATCGTTTGATAGTGATTGATAGTTGTTTAAAATCGTTTGATAGTGATTGATAGTTTGTTCTAAACGTTTGATAGTAATTGATAGTTGTTTAAAATCGTTTGATAGTGATTGATAGTTAGCTGAAATCGCTTTATAGTGATTGATAGTTGGCTGAAATCGTTTGATAGTGATTGATAGTTGTTTAAAATCGTTTGATAGTGATTTATAGTTGTTTAAAATCGTTTGATAGTGATGGATAGGTGGCTCAAATTACTTGAATGTTTAATTTATTTTTTATATAAGCATTATAATTTTTTTCGTTTAATCTTTAAGTTTTTATATGCTAAATGCCTCATTCTTGCGCTTGAATTTAAGGAATTTGTTGTTGTTGTTGAAAAAATTATTGATAACATTTTTTAATTTAAAAATTTTTATTATATCCCACACAGCAAAATATATTGCTGTAAGCTTACCTCAAGCTTATAGATGTGATTTTTGTAAGCTAACCCTATAAGCTTCAGGTAAGGTCGATTTAATATAAAAATGTCCGCCATACAGTAAGCTTACACAGCGATGCCATGGTAAACTTACATGGTTCAATCATGGTAAGCTTACACGGTAAGATCACTGTAACATGTTCATGTACAAGTAAAGTATACATGAAATTGTACAAGAATATGCACAAGATCATGTCCATTTTCTTGTACAAGTTTCTTTCTTGTACAAGATCTTGCACCAGATCTTGTACAAGATCTCACACATGAACTTGTTCCAAATTCGTATGCATTTTCCTGTACAGGAACTGACCAGAACTTGTACAAGTTCAGTTGTTGATCCTGCACAAGAAATTGTACAAGATCTTGTACAGGGATTTTCAGTAGGGTTACTTGTAATATTAACTTGGGGCGGACATTTTAATATTGCTGTAATGTCACTGTAATGTTACATTGTAATATTACTAACATTACATGTAACATTACAGTGACATTACAGTAATGTTACGTGCTACTTGGGAAGTGAACCGTAAGTGGACCGCTGGCAGTTCAATCACGGTCAAACGAATCCGCCAGGGAGCTAATGCGCATAATTATTTTTTAAAAAATTATTTATTGATACCTTTGAAAACTTATTGTGTAAGCTCACTGTAACCTAACAGTGACCTTGCCATGTAAGTTTACCATGGCTTTACTGTGTTAGCTTACTGTATGCCGAACATTTTTATATTACCTCGGCATTACCTGCAGATTACAGGGTTAGATTAAAAAAATTACATGAAAGCTTGAAGTAAGCTTACAGCAATATATTGTGCTGTGTGGGAAGTTCTTTTATTCAAACATTTTTCTACATTGCTATTTTGATTTTTAATTATTTTATTGCGTTATTTCAATATGACAATATGAAATGATATGATATAATTCATATCATATCTCACAAAATATATTTCATTTCTTTCCAGTAGTAAGATGCATTATATTTAAATAAGAAAAGAAAGGTTTTTTCAATGAACTTCA